TAAATATGAACATACAGGAGGAGTAGCTGTCTGGTATTGTTTGCACCTCTTCGGGATTCTCGCAGGGAATGTAATTGATGTCGGAGGGCATCACTTCCGGAGTCGGCCAAGGGCTGTAGCTCTCCACCGGGTAATTGTAATAATACTGGATGTTCTGGGGAGGTTCTGAAAGAAACGTACAACGCATTAGTTACACGACGGTACGATTTTTCTTCGATTTTATTACCTGGATACGTGAAAACGGGAACGACAGGTTTATAACTGTAAGGATGGGGACTTTGGGGATTGTTGGGTGACTGCGGCCACATGGTAGGATCGGAGGCGTAAGCGATGGGCCCCCATTCGTTCATCCATTGCACTTCAGGTTCCTGTTGCACCGGCGTATGTTCCATTTGACTAGGAGGACTAGCGTCGACAACGAGAGTTTCTTTCTCGTCTTTCATTTGCTAGAAAAAAAGAAAAAGAAACAATTCACAAGCACGTAAAGAATACTTAGGAAGGGTGTTCATACCAAAGGACACCCTTCGTAAGCGCTCACATTGACTTCTCCGACGTTTTCGGACGTGTTACTGACGGCTACGCCCGACTGCGTGCTGCTCTCGCTCAAAGACTTGTTGCGTTTCTTTTCCTTGCGCTTTTTCGCGTTCCTGTACTCCTTGCTGGGCAACTGCAAGGGGGTAGGGTACGTGATGAGATTTCTCGAGAAACGATAGGGCAAAGGCCACGGTTTCGCGTCGTCTTCTGCCCTCAAATCTGTGTATAAAACCGTACGAAATTCGGCCAAGCTCGTCACGTATACCACGCATTTGTCTTCGTTTTTTATGTGCTCCTGGATGTAGCACGACAAGTCCTGGCCGTTCAGACGAAGTATGCAACGAGTCCCTAGTATCAACTTGTTATCTCCATTGTACCATTCGCCTAAACGTAACTCTGCACAAAATAATACAAGTTGTTTTAACAATCCAAACAAAACAATATCGTATTTTGTTTTAACTTTGTTTCTACAACAACGATTATAAAAAAAAAACAATAACCTTTATTCATTCGTTTCAATTGTCTTAAACAAATGATTAATTGTTTAAGTGTTTTATTTTTATGAGAAACAAACGCACCTCTACGCACTTCGATCCACGTATCGTATTCTATGTTTCTGTAAATAGTGGGATCCAATGCCTTTGCCACTTTGAATGGGAATGGGGCCAAGAGCAGGTCTAATGGGCCCCTGCCACCCTTCTCCTCGTCATTTTCATCGATATCACGATCTCTTTTAAGTTCATTCGGTCCCTCATTGTCCGAATGGCACCTGCCTTGTAATTTGGTCTGTTTGCCATCTTCACTTGAATATTCTGAGTTGTTTAACGCAAGTGCAAATGCGTTTTTATCGTAAAGCATCGAATTGACTATGGCAGAAACGTTTTCGATTTTGAATACGTTCTCGTACAAAATACTGTATACTATAGCTGTAAAAGTAATTTTTTTTTATTACAAAGATATGCCATGAGTATCGAGTACGTACACTGACAGAAACCAGCTGTCATAATGTATTCTCTCTTATAGACAACGTCGTAATGGTCTTCGTTAGTTTTACAAAGCAACAACGTCCCTGAATATCTATTGTTAGTAACGTCCTGAACTCTCAAACGTATACCATCAAAGACTAGCACTTCACGTCTAAAATAATGCAAAATGAAACGACTGTTAAACGTAAATTGTGTATTTGCATACTTGTAAAGCTTGCTAATAATTTGGATCTCAATGTTATCACAAACAACCATGTGTATCTTGAGTTTTTGGAGGTGGTCGTACCATTCCATTTCATTCTTAACTAAGTCAGCAAATTTGTCGAAATTGTCTTTGGCATATTCTATACACTCTTTCCGTATTCTTTCGTGATACATTTGCGAGAAATACAACTGAAATTAATTGTGTTGTTATCAGAGGTGTACCGGATAAATGTTAATGGGTGTATTTTTACTTGTTCAGACACTGCTCGAAATAAGCATGTTTCATCATAAGCTATGTTTTTTCTATAGTAGCCTAAAGTATCGAGCCAATTATCCACAGCGCCTGGATTTTTCCCTTTCTTTCCAAATTTAAAGGACATCTTTTTGGTACGGTTCAGGTAATCGAAACAGGGGCTGAAAAGTTTGTTGAAATGACCATATTACCATTTAATGTTTCAGCAAGACAAGTTTAATAGATAAACAAACGAATTACTATCTTTAGCGTTTGTTTCTTTAATCAAATGACAAATAAATGTTAACTTGCTTCATTTTTCATACAGAGTTTGCAAAGTTACAGGTACCTTAGAGATTAAACAAATGAAATAAACAATAACTACAGTTGAAGTACCACTTATTAAATAACAAAAGAAAGTAAAAGACGATTTTCTTACCTTTCTATTTACATTTAAATCAAAACGCACGTGGATCTTAACATAACGTTTGAAAAGTTTTTTTTATTCGTGTGTTGATGTTTGAGCATGCGTTGTTTATTTCGGACGTTCTCAAACAGTGGTTCTATGATCAGCGGTCCTCATTTCTCATTTACTTTTATTTGAACGAGCCATTATTTTTTTTACAATCCAATTATAATTTTTATTATCAACTTATGAAAAATTTTACGTGTAGCAGCAAAATTATTCAAGTTTAATGTACTTACTGTCGTTTTCGTGTTTAAATATGAACATACAGGACGATCTTAACAAATTAACAAGTAATAATGAAACAAAATTTAATTATTTATATCTTTTTACTGAAAAGCACCATAGTTATGCAACTTAAGATATTACACAATGATTTGCATTCACTATACATAAAATAAGTACAAATAACGCGTGAGCATACCTTTGCAGTATTTGTAGTTCTTATAATAAATGCAGATAAAAAATAAATTCATATAAATCGCGCGTTGCTTGCTTTTTTGTAAACTTTTATAAATACATTTATCAAAATTCGTATAAAAGTATCAAATTAATAATACAAGTAGGATGATAGTGGCGGTCGGTCGCCATTTTATGCGCTCTTTTCCTTGTCAATTGTTTCCTTCGTGGGTAACGAGTTCTTTTCTAAAGTTTCGGCGTGTTTTAACTTAGTGGAGTCGAAATTTTCAATTCCAGAGAGCAATTGTTTTTGGCCTTTTTCCAGTTGAATAACTGAAAGTTAGAAACAGTTGATATCAAGAAACAAATTGTTTCTTTTTTTTTATGATAGAATACGTTAAGTTAGACGTGTACTTCTTCAAGCAATGGCAAAGGCAAAAAAAGTGCATTTCTACATGCGAATAAGTAACAAACTATATGCAAATGCAACACTTTACCTTCTGAACCTGGAAGCACGACTTTTTCGGTTGTAGTCGTGTGTTTCATGGTAGTTTTATCAAAATGTTCAACTCCATCTAGCAACCTTTGATGAGTCTTTTCTTGCTGCACAACTAATTGAAAACAACACATTAAACAAGCGATGACAACAGTTTGTTTGACCATAATGAGAACAAATGAATTGGTATTATATCACTTTCAAAAGTTTTAATTTCAACTATTATAACACGTACTATATTTTTAAGGAGAAATTAGGGACCTGGGTGACCAAACAAACCGTTACCTACCTTCTGAATTTGGAAGGACAATTTTTTCGGTGGTTGTGGCGTGTCTCATTGACGATTTGTCGAAATGTTCAACTCCGGTTATTAAATTCTGATGATTTTTTTCCTGTTGGACGGCTACAGTGTAAAAAAACATGCATTTAAAGCGAGGCCAGAATCAGTGCCATTTATAAAATAAATGACTGACAGTTTTATTAAGCACAATTGTTACTAATTTGGCCAATAAAGTTTCGTCCAAATGGGGAATCTCGTCATTATCTAATTTTAGAACTTGAATTGCGACGATTGCAGAAACAATCGTTTCATAACTTTTTCTACATTCAGTTTAATACAATAAAAGATGACAAATAAGTGCAAACATAAGTGTATAATATTTCTTGAGGGCTTAAGCAGCCTAAGCTTAATAAAAACCATGCACGGTGCGACATTAAAGACAAACGCACACGTATCTACACAAACATTTAAAGCAGAGATGCATTTGTTTATTTTTTGCATTCACGAAAACAAAAGAAGTTTCTTTCGACTTACCTTCTTTATCAGGCAATGGATTTTTCTCCTGGGTTTCCGTGTGTTTCAATTTGTTATGATCGAATTTTTCGATGCCCGCAATAAGGGCCTTTTCTTTCTTTTCAGCGGCCACATCTGCAAACAACCACTGAATTAATTACCGAAATTAATTAATGTATAACTCTAGCAAAAAAGGCGAAACTAGTAAATTAATGTAAAGCTAGAACACTGTTTTAACACTGGGCACGAGTCGAAAAGCAGTCAGGACGATTATGGCGGTTGACCGCCATTTCGTGCGCTCTTTGTTTGTCTGCTATTTCTTTTCGCTGTATTCTAGAAGCGAAATATAACGGTTTCGAACAAAAGAACAATTCGGAGACATATAGGATCCAATTTAAACTGTATAATGACTCAGAAGTTTGGAATTTATCTAATGGTCAACAACCAAGTGCTTCTTGACAAAAGTTTATGAGTCACTTGAAACAAAATGAACGGATAAATGATGGTGTGCTCTTTTTTTTGTGGAAATCTTAAATGAATAGGTAATAATAATTCAGCAAAGTTCAACAAAACACAATCGTTGAACAAAATACCTACTCGTCTGGCTTAAAAAAACAGGGGAACGTCGGTTAAATTTGAACTTCAGTTTTTTTATGTTGATTAAAAAGTCTGCGACGACAATTGATTACCTACCTGTAAAACAAGTACCTACATTCTAATTTGTATGCTAACTGCTTTTCTATTTTTATTATGAAGACAGTTGGCGAGCGGTGTTCATTACTTTACAAACCAAACAAGTTTAATATTAAAGCAAATATCAAATATCGTTAGTGAAATTCAGATTATTGGACGCAATAAAAAAACAAAGGAAATTCGATCGGCACCAATTTCTTTTGCCAATTCAAATTTTTACGAGGTAGAATTTTGCATAAAAGTACAATAATATTGTTCTGAGCAATTTTAGAAAATTAGTTTTAAAAATATTCAGGAAAACATTTTTGGAAGGCGAGCAATTTATTTTTAACANTTCAAAAAAAAAACAGGATAGCTATAAGTTTTTTGTTTATTTTCCAACATTGCCCCCATTTGTTACTATTTCTTTTTTTTTCTTACACCTAAAACATTAAAATTCAATATTTGATATTTACACTATTTCATGACTGTACAGTTACTATTTCTTACTTTTTCTACAAGTGTAAATTATTTTTTTTGTTTTGGAATGACTTAAAAATTAACAAATTACTTGTGCATTTACTTTTAAACGTTATTTGTGCGTGAATAATGTAGTGTTTTGCTTCTGGAAACTTTTGACAAAGTAAAACCGCTAAAGTTTGCATAGTTGTAATGTGGAATTGGAAAAATTGGCCGTTTTGCCTTCTGTAAACGTCTCTAAAAATATATTATTTGAGGAAACTGGTTTTGTTACAATGCCATTCTTTTTTTTTGCGCCTCTAAAAAAATTTTGTCGATATTACGAAAGACATCGCTGCTAGCCTTTGCAGCATCAACAAGGTGATGGACGCCGCGCGTTTGATAATAACTAACAAGGGGTTTTGTCTGCTCATGATATGCTCTCAACCGTTTCTTTAATGCTTCAATGTTGTCATCTGACCTACGTATTAGGGGTTCCCCTGTTATGTCATCCTTCATCTGCTTTTTGGGAGGATGAAATTCCTCGTGATAAGACCGACCACTTCCTACACATTAAGAGCTCTTAGGGTTTCTAATAGCTACTTGTTTAGTAAAAAATATATCTCATTACATTATTTACTTATATACTGAGATAGCTTTTAATTAACAAAATGAAAAAAATACCTGGATGAATCAGTCTGCCTGTTATACGTCGTACTAGTAAGTTATCGTCGATTCCAAACTCAATAACAGCATCCAAACTTGTTTTCCTCTTATCCAAGAGCTGATCCAACTTTTCTGCTTGCTTTATTGTCCGAGGAAAACCATCAAGTAAAAAGCCATTTCTACACTCAGGTTTGTCCAAGTTAGTATCAATTAAGTCCACCACAAGGTCGTCACTGACCAGTTTGCCATCATCCATGACTTTCTTAATATCAGCCCCCAATTTTGAACCAGAGGCAACCTCATTTCTCAGCATGTCCCCAGTCGCTAAATGGCAAATGCAATACTTCTGGGTGATGAGGGGAGCTTGAGTCCCTTTTCCAGAACCAGGAGGACCCAAAAGGACGGCATTTATACCCCGAGGCTCAATTGAGGGGGACTCTCTAGGTATAGGAACTGCAGCTGGCATTCTCAACAGATTTTTACTATTCTAATAAGAATAAAGGAAACACAAACGATTAGAAGAATTCGAATGATTATAAAAGAAGTTTCTTTGATTACCTAACAAATTTTTCAACCTATAACCCCTGAACCAACTCACTTTTTTATCACACAAAGGTACAAGCACAAATGCACCTGATAAGTGGAACTGTCTAAATAAACAACTATTATAAAAAATAGCAGGAAAGATGCAATTACTGTTATTATTTTGTAAATTGATGTTAATAAATGCCCTATTAACGTTTTAAATGTGAGGATGGTAGTTCTTATTTCATGATTAATAAAAAATATTAAATTTCACGTGCCCCCTTCCTTTTGACGTTTGAGGTTAAGTTTGTCAATATCAAGCAAGTTTGACGAGTGCTCGGTCATTTTTTAACAAAAACAATAAAAGTCCTGAATATTTAATTTAAAAAAATGGCTCTTCACGTTCCTAAAGCGCCGGGCTTTGCCTCAATGTTAAAGGAAGGAGCTAGGGTATGTATTACTGTTTATATTATTGTTTTATGAAGCATGTGGCTTTAAAGAAAGATGTTAGTTGTGGGCGTTATTTTGATGTACATGCATTATTTTAGTACTTTTCTGGATTAGAAGAAGCTGTTTATCGAAATATCAATGCCTGTAAGGAATTTGCACAGTCTGTGAGGACAGCCTATGGCCCCAATGGCATGAATAAGATGGTTATCAATCACATTGAGAAGCAGTTTGTTACCAGTGATGCTGCCACTATTATAAGAGAGCTGGATATTGAACATCCTGCAGCTAAACTGATGATTTTAGCCAGTGAAATGCAAGATTCAGAGGTAGGGGACGGTACAAACTTTGTAATTATACTTGCTGGAGCCCTGTTGGAAAGTGCTGAAGAGCTTCTCAGATTGGGAATAACTCCTACTGAAGTTGCAGAAGGATATGAAAAGGCCCTGGACAAATGTCTTGAGATCCTACCCAAACTTGTATGTTACGAAATTAAAGATTATCGTAATGTTGAAGAGGTAAAGAAAGGCATTTTAACAGCAATTCAGTCAAAGCAATATGGAAATGAACAGATCCTTGCTGATTTGGTAACCAAAGCATGTGTTTCAATCCTACCAGAACAGACCACCTTCAATGTTGACAATGTCAGGGTTTGTAAAATATTAGGATCAACTCTAAGGAATTCAGAAGTCGTTCAAGGAATGGTTTTCAAGCGTCAGGTTGAGGGCGACGTCACCCAAGTAAAAGATGCCAAAGTGGCAATCTACAGCTGCCCAGTTGACGTCATGCAAACTGAGACAAAGGGTACAGTTCTTATTAAAACAGCAGCTGAACTGGTCAACTTCAGTCGTGGGGAAGAAAATCTGCTTGAGAAGCAAATCAAAGACATTGCCGACACTGGGGCAAAAGTTATTGTGTCTGGAGGCAAGTTTGGAGACATGGCCCTTCATTATGTCAACAAGTATGGAATGATGGCTGTTCGATTGAACTCTAAATTCGATTTGAGAAGATTAAGCAAAGCCGTAAGTGCTCAAGAGCCTTTCACGCCACACTTTTATACTGTGTATTAAATAATTAATTGGATTATGTCCTGTTTAGGTAAATGGTACCGTTCTGCCGAAGTTGTCACCCCCAACTGCGGAAGAGCTCGGTTTTTGCGACGTCGTAGCCGTAGAAGAGATGGGAGACACACCCCTGGTCGTATTTAAATTGGAACATAAGGACTCTCGCATCTCCACTGTAGTCATACGAGGGGCCACAGACAACTACATGGACGATATCGAAAGGGCCGTAGACGATGGCGTCAACACTTTCAAAGGCATCGCAAGAGACGGACGTTTCGTACCAGGTGCAGGGGCTACAGAAATGGAACTTGCAGTTCAGCTCGCCAAATACGCCGACACATTCTCAGGTTTGGAGCAGTACGCTGTCAGGAAGTTTGCCCACGCGCTGGAGAGCTTCTCGAAGATCCTTGCCGACAATAGCGGACTGCATTCGTCAGTTGTCGCTGACAAACTCCTGGAGGCTCACAGGGTAAGTTTTTGCTTCAATTACGTTAGGTGTTCGGTTGTACGTTTTGATTTTTCTAAAGGAGGGAAAGAAGAATTATGGGGTCGATATAGAGTCTCAATCTTCAGTTTGTGATGCACTAGAAAGGGGTATTCTAGATCTTTACGTGGGCAAGATGTGGGGCTTGAAATATGCCGCGGGAGCAGCTGCCACAATCTTGAGAGTCGACCAAATAATTATGGCCAAGAGGGCCGGAGGACCTAAAGCGAGACAAGGGCCCCAAGACGAAGACGATTAGAAAGTTATTATTTGTAGCTTGTTTTCCACTTTTGCATTTTTTCGTAATATTCTTACCAACATTATTATTATAATTATTAATTCGCCATTAATTACTTAATGATTTTTTTTTATGTAGAACCAATGATGAAAACAAAATAAACCAGATTTGCAAAAATAACGTTTATCAACTTATAAAAAAGGAACACAATTTTTACATTAGTTATTATTATTAACTAAAGCAGTCTTTACGTTATAAAGGAACTTTTTTTGTTAGTCTTAAAATCGACGTCAAGGCACAGAGACCACAATATCTAAATACATTATTTCATTCTTTTTTAAAGTAATATCACGATTTGTACATACATTGACTTAAAGCAACATACGATACAATTATATTTAACACATTAATAAACTATAATGAGATCCTTTGGATTTTAAACACTTAACGGATACGTGTGGGGGGATGTACCACGACTAAAAAGGTCGTCGAGGGACACCCCTTTGTAACTAATATTCAACTGCCTTTAATAATAACGTTAGACTCATTGCACGAACAGTTTTGTACAGTAAAACTGAAAAAACGAACAGTAATTGATATGAGATCAAAAAAGTGAGATCGAAAAACGAAAACATAACCTCAAACCCTCTAAATAACGAAAAATAAACTGAATTCTTTGTTTCTTGGTAAAATAATAAAATTTTACGTCAGCGTTTATTTGGCGACCGCTNTTCTTCATAAAATTAAATAATACAAAAAATTGCCAAATGAAGAGAATACTATTTATTAACAACAGTAGAGAAAAGTAATTACAAAAGGAAAATTTTGTACCAATTTTAAGGAAATTTGGCTTCAGCACAACAACACACTCGTCCTTTCGCGCCCCCCTCAAACAAAACAATTGTAAAACCGAAAAATTTAAATCGCTCTAAAAATAAAAATATCATTTCTGAATTATTTCAATCTACGCATAGTATACATTTAATAAAAAGTACTCGAAAAACGATTGCACAACAACTGAACGTCACATAAAGGAAATTTTAACTCGGAGTTAATTAAACTTGCATCTTTGTTTCTTTTTATTACTAAGCAATAAAAATATGCAAATTCCCGTGCACTCTCCTTGCAATCACTTACAATTTTCTGCATAATTAAATGTAGAAAACGAAGTTCCCAAACCCAAGCATGATTAACCGTAAAATAAAGAAAACTAAAGCCCCCCCTCCCCTACGGTCCCTTAAATTCCGCTGCCTTTCATTCTACTATTACATGACAAACTGAAACTCAAACAAAAAATAAATAAATGCTGTAGTAGTTCAGTTCTAGATAGACACTAACATCTACGTATGTATGTACAAGACTTGAATATATTAATCTTCTCTGTACTTCTTCCTATTTTATTACATATTCACTAAAAGATAACGAAACCTAACTGCAAACGAACACCTTCACAACATTCTGCACCTTCATTTTGCAAATGGGGCAGCTTTTACACGCGTGCCACGTCCTTACTGCGCATCTATAGCAACAACACATGTGACCCGTTTTACCGTGCAAGAAAATACTATTTTTCGGCTGTGAGTTACACACAATGCACAATTCTCTAGGTTCCGAAAGGACAGCAGGCTTTTCGCCCCTTATCGGTACCGTCCCGTTAAATTGCCCCCCCTTCTCCACGCTAACACAGCTACTATTATCTTTAACCCCAACCATGGGTTCTTCCCTCCCATTATGGACCTGTTCGACACGTGCGCTATGCACCACAGTTGTAGTGCCCTTTTCGACCCTTTCCATGGTCCCCAAGCCACTACACGAAGGGACACACTCGTTATTGACCACAAAAACGGATGGGACGTTTCGTTTGTCGTTTTTGACGTCTTCTGGGTTGTTGGTATCGACTTTAGCTTTCTTATTGGGTTCCATGAGAGTATCGTCGTTTAAGCTTCTTTTGTTGGCCCGCTTCCGGCAGTTGATTTCCTGGTCGGTGTCAGAAAACAAGCTATCGGATCCATCACTCACGGTCCTTTTTCGATCGTTGGTGGTAGCTAATCGATTGCTTAGGTGTTTTGGGACCACGATCTCCTCCAGATTGAGTTTCGGCAGCTCTTGGCTCGATCCCACTCCGGAGTCCTGGGACAGGCCGCTCAAACAGGAACGCAGGTTTGCCACAGCGATGGGCGGCTTTCCTTTCACACTTTTATCGACGGCGGCGGCTTTCTTATTACGGGGACGGACACGGCGGGGCCTCGGCGGAAATAACGTCTTCCTGGCCTATTAATTAAAGCATAGAACAGAATAAACTTGCGAGCAAGTGTAAAAATTGGACGACTCACTGAAAACGATTTATTTTTATTTGAATTTTCTTCAAAACACCAACCCCCAACTACCTGTTCTAGTTTGAATTCATCTTTTATAGAAAATTGAAGATTTGAAAGCTTTTTCTTTGTTAATTTTTAATTTTGATGTATTCATTGATGGTGCGGTAATATTTTAACTAACCTTTAGTATATTTAATTAGGGCTCCTTTATGGAATGACATTTGATTGAACCCAGGAATTACCAATAGCACCCACTTTTATNACTGTAATTGTTTAGTATAAAAAACTAAAGAATTAAACTTTTGTTTTACTTAAAAAAAAGAGTAAAAGCTGTTATTAATTTAGCTTCGTAAGGCATTAGCAAACCAACTTTAGTAGTATTTACACTAATTTTATTAGTTGTTATAAATAGTTAAGAAGCTAGACAAATGTTTGGAGTAGCGCACTTTATTTATTTATCGTTTTTTTTTTTTGTTAAAGTGTTATCTGTCACCCTTCCTGATACTATTTTTTTACCTTGGGCATTTGGTAACACTATTTTCTCTTTGGTATCGGTACGTTTGAGTACGGAGAAGTTGAAATTTTCCACCCCCGCTATAAGGGCATTATGGGTGCGTTCTTGGGCTAAATCTACAGATTATACAATAGTATGCACCAAAGTAAGACAATATTACGAAAATAAAAATAGGCGAGATATAATTTATAAGCAATCGTTAAACCAATATTTCGTACAAGACAAGAAAAGAGAACATACAATATTTTGTTTTCAAAAGAAAACAAAACACAAAAGCTTTCAGTTGTTCTAGTCGTTATTTTGTTTTCAAAAGAAAACAAAAAAGTTCTTCAATTGTTTTTGTCATTACTTTGTTTCCAAACGAAAACAAGAATAAGCCATCATGTTTTAAATTATTTTTAAATTCGTGATTAGTTTGGTTTTTTCTTTAAATGAAAAACTCACCCTCTGCAGATGGAAGGATTATTTTCTCCTGTGTTGGAGCATTTTTTAAGCTATCAGTCTTGAATCCCTCCAATTCGCTCTTAAGGTCACCTGCGACTTTTGGAAGGTCCTTAAGAGCGGGAGGTGGAGCTGGACAGGAAGACATCTGAAGCAAAAACAAATGATTAGTTATTAGGTACAAAACCTTTCGATATTGAAAGAATTTGGAGTTTATTCGAATCCGATGGGAATCACTTCTCAAATAAATTTTTGACAACGGTGTGGGCTGCCTTGTTGGGTGGATATTATTCAATGTACCATCGTGTAGGTGACCTCTTGAATTTGAACCGGTTTATGGAATTTTATCTCTGTTTCTTTTGGCCCGTTCAATGGTTGCTGTTAGGAAGTTACATACATTGATATGCTATTGACTTAAGGTACCTACATTTGGTACCTACCCAACAATTTAAGCATCACCGGATTTTAATAAGAAAAATGTCAACCTCTTTAATCCTTAAAACCAAAAACAAGTTATTTCCACTAAAAATTTGAAGTATTTTGTTTTAATATCTAAAGAATTTTGTAGGAATATCTTTTAAGAGAAACGCTCAGTAAGAATTTGTCTGAAAACTCGTTTGTTAAAGATACACTTTCTCGATATGCAGCTTTTATAGGCCAAGGGTTCCAAGTCGTATTTTTTTTAATTGTCACTTTCTTGTTCTTCTTTTATTGCGATTCTTTTTTGTTATGCGTTCAAGCATGTTTCAAAACAAGAGCGTGTGAATCTATTTGTTGTCTGTTTTTCGTGTTAAAACAAAACAACACTGCTTCAAAATAAAGCGTGCACTTTTTACTCATAAAACAGCGAAATTAGTACAGAAATAGCTGAAAATACACTCCAAAAAAAATGCTAATGTAGGACCTAAAAATACCATCCCTTTATTTTTGCAATTTGTAGACCGAAGACTGATATGAGATATTGACCCTAGTTGTTAGTAGGACTGGGTTTCCCAGCCAGTTTCTAAACCATCTCGTGCATTTTAATGAAGAATGAGTCATGTTTGAGCGCCATTTCGAACTTAAGTTTTCAAATTGTCCATTATATCAGACGTAGACGTACATTGTGTTACCCATTGGGTGTACTTATATGTATACATATATAAATCAGTATTTACTTGTTTATCTTCTTCCATATAAGGTGTAACCAGGCTAACATACTTCAGTGTAATTCTAACATGGCCTGAATACTGTCTTGGTGCTTGGGGCCAACATACAAACGTTACGGGGACGCCATATGTTTTTTCTGAACAACATATGGCCCCAGATCGTGAGGTTTTCGAGGTCGAAATTAATCAAAATTCGGAACAAATGACGAACAATCGAAATTTTGCAATTCAAAATTAAATAACGTAATATTATAACAATAAATGGTAATATTAGAACTCAACATTTACTTCAGTTATTGTCCCCAGTTAGCCATCACCTAGTTTTAATTTGTAATCGTAAAAATTGACGCATTTGAGAATCAAAGACTTTCTGACTAATATAAATACAAACACATAATCGTAAATAGACACAAATGTGATAAATGTAGAAGAAATGAACAAATATTTCTTTTGGATAATTTAATCTAGACTACAACTTCCGTTATTTGTGGGACAAGAAAAACATTCTACTTTGATAAAGATGTATTTGGGTGATACATGATAAATTCCAAATAAGTGCTGTAAGCGTTATTTTTATTCATCCGAGCCCATTTTATCTGTTTTACATAACGATTTATTTGTTTAACAACAAGAAATAACATTCGAAAGAAGAAAAAAGAAAAGAATAGCGAAAACATTTGAATATTTACAAAACAACGCAGTAGTTACACTTTGTCTTTGGTTTTCATAACAGCGTCGTTTGTTTTTTAAATTAAAAAGTTGTACAACTACGAGGAATTGCAACAAACGCGTCGATATGCCATCAACAAAAATCATTTTAATTTATCGCTAGGTGGAAAAAAGGAGAAATTTTTTGAAAAACCATAAATAATTATACAATGCCAAGGCTGTTTTCTTTCCTGACCACTGCATTTCACTTTATGACGAGAAAGTACGAAGTGAAATATTCAAGTTTTTTATGGCCAATAGGTACGAGCTTAATCTCATAATTTTTGGGAAATAAAAAACAAAAGTCTTAATAACTTTAGTTTCTAATTTATAAAACCCCTAAGGAATAAAAAAAGCTTTTTTGGTACCACAAGTGCATTTTATATTAATTTTTTTAATGGTTATCAACTGGTTAATTACAAGTAATTACTCGAGTCTAATTCGACTTGAATAAATGCCATACGGTTGTATTACAAGTAGATTAATTAAACATGTGAAGATGGCTTTTTAAAATTCGAAACACGCGAATAAAAGAAACAATGGCCGCGCTTCTGCCTTTTCAATTCAATATCGGCTGTTTTATTATTGTCAAGTGTTCACGTAGCCGAAAATTCTTGCATAAAATAAACGCATCGACAAAAGACAAGTTTTCTTATATTTTTTTTCGTACTCATTTGTAGAAGCAGTGAACTTGCAATGGCCACATGTACCTATTCTTTATGTACTCAAACTTGGGTATATAATTAGCACATGCGACAACAAATTCTTGGACACGCTAATTGAATTTTCTGCATTGTTTGCACGCTGTCTTGTACCCATTACAAAAAAAAAACAGTCGAGTACGAGAAAGAACGAATAAAAGAAAATTGAAACAAATGGAACAATATCAAACAACTATTGAAACAAATGGGGCAAACGGAATAAAAACAAACGAAAAGAGAAATGTGTCTATTGTTTTGCAGTAAATATTGACAATTTTTCTTTGTTTTTTCGATTTTCTCTTGTCTATATTACGCAGTCGTTGCATCAAATGAGTTTTGTGTTCCCTGTTTTTCCCCTATGATTAAGCTATTGATTCGGGCTACATGATCCGAGTAGGTACTTAGGTACCTACGTTCGAAAAGTCAACGAGAAAAGTTTAAAAGGGGAAGCTAATACAAAAGACCTGGTTGTAGCTAAAGGATTTAATTACTTGGCTTTTTGTGACCGGTTTCACATTCCATTCTAGGGGATTTTTAATGACTTCTAGGCGGAAGTAACCTGTTCATTCTCTATTTTATTCGTAATATGAGAAACCATACGAACAAATACAAAGTACATACGTATATAACATATTATATTTTGTGTGTGTGCACGAGATAAGATTACCTCCAAAAGACGACCCATTTTAACAACATTAACAATTTACTTAGAACAATGCGTTACCATTATAGTTCCTACGAACAAAAATTCCCTTTTTGAATGAATTTTTTTTTAAGAATTAAGAAAAGGATTTTAAGTACCTATTAATATAATAATTAATGGCTACTGAAGTCAATTAAGTTTATTTTAACAACATTAATCGTAAGACGATAAGAACAATAAATAATGAAAATATAGCCATTAAAAACTTTAAACGAATAACATCTAATTAACAATTGTGGACGTAAAAATTTATCTTTTGGCAGAAAAACAGTGAAATAAATGTACATATAAACAGTTCGCGATAGTTGAATTTTGCTGAAAATAAAAATGCAATTATGTATCTGTTACGTTACGTAAGCAAATTAATAATTTATTAGTGTATAACAGATAAAATTTGTCGATTTTGATCGTGTTATCTACATGCAGGTGAATCATTAAAAAAAATATCGAGTTAAATAGAAATGCATTTCTAAATAACAACAGAATAACGCGAAATAAATAACAAAAGAATAAAGAGAAATAAATAGCAAAAGAATAACGCAAAATAAATAACAAAAGAAAAATGCGAAATAAATAGCAAAAGAATAACGCAAAATAAATAACAAAAGGAAAATGCGAAATAAATAAAAGAATAATGCGAAATACAAATTTACGAACTGCAATATTAGTCACCCTTTAAATTACTATTATTAGAGGTGTATACTTCATCAGTTTGTGTAAAATGTGGATAGAATTGAATTGGGGTGAAGTTTCTTGTATTCTGCGAACTCCAGCCGACTGGCAATTGTAACAAGGGTTGCAATGGTCACCCTTATTATTCTCGAATTCGTTCGATTTTATTTATTCGTTTGCACAAAGAAGAGAAAGCTTTTGACAAGTATGCAGCAAAGTTTTCCCCCATCCCTTACGGGTCTCTTTGTAATTACTATTGGCAAAAAATCGATCTTTTTCGTTAAGTTGGATTGAATCATTGAATAGGTAACAAACGGAAATTTAATCGATTGAATAAAAATCCGTCAATTATTAGCTCACACCTGTGACTAATTTTCTTGATAAGGAAATTAATTCTCAAACAAATGACATCAAAAGAAAAGTTGCAATGTAAATATAAGGTGCAAACCGAGTAAAGTGCACAGATCAAATAGGTATATGGTAATTCAGTTTAGTATGGAATAATGAAAATCCTACGATAAATTGCGAAGGTCCACCTACAATAAACAGTACAAAAAACCACTGTTCTATAGGCAGTACAATAAGCAATGAAATTTTATCTAGTGTTTTTAATACTAGAAATAAAAAGCGAAAATCACTCCAAAATAATGATTTTTTTGACGGACATTTTAAAAACGTAGTAAACAAAATGAAAATCGTTTAAAAAAATGAGTGGCAAGTTTTTAATCAACTTTTAAAAAAATGCAACGCGGTCGATTAAAACAAAAAATTAAAATTGCTGAAATAAATGAAGATGCTAGCAATTAGTAGTAAAACAATATTCCAAGTTCATTGGTATAATTTCAAGTCGTTGTCCTCTATAATCATCAAAATTTTTAAGTACAGAATATTTTATCGAAAACAAACAATAACTGCAATTATCGGAAAATTAGACAAGTACCTATGTAGTTAATCTAGAAAAACTTATTTTCTGAAAATTGTTTTTTTAAGTAAAAAATGATTCAAACAAAAAACAAATGCATATTTGTTTTTTAATATTGATTAGGGTTTGGGACACGTACGAATGAATTTAAATAAACAAAAAACAAATAAATAAAAGAAAGTCACGACTGTCTTTTGTATTTGGACGTAGAATAATTGTTGCTATGAAAATCACGATTTCTTGAAAACTTCATACCTAGACAATAGTACGTGTAAAACTTCCTCTACACCGGTCAACAAACTTAATATCCGTTTAAATAAATGAATCTTATGCATAAAAAATAATGATAATGCAAGAACTCCAATTAGTTGTAGTACTTATATCATCAGCATTAATTAATTAATTACACCTGCTGCGCATAATACCTTGATTATCCACCGGTTCAAACTGTATAATTTATAAAAAATACAATGAAAATTCTTAATTACAATTTACGAAAAAGTAAAAAAAATAGTTGAAAATAATATACTTAATCTTGACTGTTTAATAATTAGTAAAATTAATGATAATTATTGATAATTTTTTTAAACTTTGACCGCTTACAATCCTTTATTAATTTTTCTGCCTCAATCCTGCAGTAATTTTTAAAAAATTGGGCGTGTAGCGTCCAATAGCTTTAAAAAAAAATTAAATCCAAACCGCACCCTTTACAATAGTCTATCAATTATCTAGACATCATCACCCCTTGTTAAATTCGTTTTTTTTTTAGCGATTGTATCGATTCGGCTCTAAATAAAAAAATAACTCACCTCGATATGGTGTTCTGTAGACGTTGGGGTGTTATAAAAAGATAAGGGAGGAATGTAATTGACGTGCAAAAATTACAGCTGCCGACCAAGCTAACGCCTTAACAACTCTCAGCTTCTGCCTCCTTCGAACTGTTAGTTTTGAGGCCTCTACCGGCTTGCGTTAACTGAAACGTTTTGTTCTTTTCGATCGGAAGGATTACGAAGAGAAGCGAAGCCAGTTTGTGCGCCGGTGCCCCAAGTGGTGACGACTGATGGGTGTTGGTCGGTCGGGGTCGGAGTCTTCGTCTCCGCCGTCCCCGTCGAAAACTTGCCAACGACGCCGCCGGACAGTGGGAACGTAACAAGGCGTCAGCATACCGAACTCATTAAGTCATGAATCATCGTCGTTAGTACGCTTGTTATCAAATTATTGCAGTATACATTCGAAAAGTAGGTATTAAGTAGTAGATTACAGAAGTTGTGAGGCCACACAACCCCCCGGGTTGGCGAAGGAGGGCTTGGATTCGATTGGAAGTCACTTCTTCAATGATAAGCAAATAGTCGACGGTAATGAAGACGTCAAAGACCCGAGACGCGACTTATATGCGTCCAAATGCAATGTAAATAATAATTATCATAAGGGGATGGTATTGATATGATAGGGAGGGTTCCAGAAAAATGCGAGCTTTTGCACGTGTTGGGCAACACATTTAACACCACAATGAAACTATTCACGTCTATTTCCGATTAAAATGAACTTTATTTGATCATTTAGGTAATGATAAGCAAACAGGGGGTTTTAATAAAGATGGGGATGCTATATAATGTGCAGTTGATCCTAAAAGAATGCGATTTTTTGTGCGTCTCACTTTTTTTGTTAGTCTGACAATGAAAACAAGCATGCCAGTTCATGAAAGAATTAAGGAACATAAAATGTAATACAATAAAAGCGTTTATTTGTGTTTTTTAATTAAATTGAAGTTAATTTTATTAGTCTGGTAATGAAAAGCAAATAGGGATTTTTAATGAAGATGGAAAGGGGGTGAGGGGTGAGCTATATGAATCTTATCTAATCTAATCCAATTTTTGTTAATCAGGCAATGATAAGCAAGTCACTTTTTTGTAGGAATTAGGGAACATAATGTCTAATACAATAAAATTATTTATTTGTATTTCTAATTAAATGGAAGTTAATTTCATTAGTGTAGTAATGATAATTAAATATGGGGTTTTAATGAAGACTGGAAAGGGATGTGGGGTGGGCTATATGCATCTAATTATGCTAGAAATGTGGTTTTCTAAAAGGGTTTACATTAATTAATATTACACTATTTATTCAACAATAAGTATTTAATAGAGGAATACATCGCTTCTCGGACTAATTAGACAAGAGTTATTAAGGGAGGCCTAGGATTGAACTAGAGATTACTTTTTGTTAGTCCGGCAATAATAAGCAGCCCAGTTATTGCAGGAATTAGGGAACATAACGTGTAATACAATAAAACCATTTATTTGTTTTTTAATTAAATTTAAGTCAATTTTACTCTAGTCT